CGTGTATTAGGCCACAATAATTATCTCCACAATCTTGGGGAGGTAGCAGCTATCAACGTTAACTAACTTCAGTTGTTGCTGAATCACACAGACTAGATCTAACTCATTTACGATTATAAACAACTTAATAACCAATTACGAACAAGGATGCGTTAACAAGACTAATTGAAGTTATGTATTAAATTGACACTTCAACTAACCAACCTTAGGCGTAGATAATATATATAACCCAAAAATAAAGTCAAAAGTTCGACAGAAGGGTTTACGCAATACACCAATAAAATAGAAAAGAGGTCTAAAGAAAAACACTCTTAACACTTAACCTAAGTTTGAACTAAAACTAATCCAGCTAATCCAGATAATTTAACCAAATAGGGGCTAATACACTTAGTAATGTTTTATATCTCCACTTCGAAATTCTTTAAAATTCTATTTTTATATAAAAAAAATCTACTTAATGGAAATTTAAATTAATTCTCTATAAAAACATTTTAATAAATTAAATGTATAATAAATCAAAACTAAATTTTTTTCACCAAACCCAAACCCAAACCCAAAACTGAAACCCATCCTGACAAAACCGTTTTTCATATAAATATTTCCACATTTCTGGAAAAATAGAAAGTTTAATTCTGCAAAAAAGAATACCATAAATTTTTAGCTGCCAGATGAGCTGTAAATTTTATCTTATTTTTCAATTTAATAAAGTTATATAATACCATAAAGTACAAAAAAAAACTTTTCGATACATAATGAAGCAGAAAATTGCTTATTTGACACATATTGAAGTTCTTAATAAGCGGCAATAAAAAATAAAAGCAGCATAAAATCAAATTTCGTTGTTATTGAAACTGAAACATTTTGCGTGGTTCAAAGAGTGGGACTTCATAGAAAAAAACCAGAACATTTACGAATACGAACTTTTGAAAAAGTACGTACATGGCTGGGAAATACAATTCATCATTCCAATTTGACCCAGGAGATGGGTGTATGCACGTACGCATCAACGTATCACAGACACCTGCCCGTGTAGGCGAATAAGAAAAAAGGATTTCGAACGTGTGTTTCTGCTCAAACTCTGGGGCGGAAGCAGCTAACAATTGGATTGATGAGTGACATTCATTTTCGATCTCTGAGCAATCAGAATCATAAAATATTGATGATGATGTTTTAGCATAAGTAATTTTTAATGTAAAAACTCATTTATAATACTCGTACTTGTATGTCATATGTTAAGGGAAATTTTGGTGAAAATACATATTTTCCTGCTTTGGTTTATACATGGAAAAATTAAATTGTATTTAAAATTATATTAAATAGGTATTATATAAATCATCCGTAGTCTTTAGTAATATTTTTTGATTTGATCGCCCCATATAGTTTCTAGACGGTAAGTATTAAAAATTTAACCCCAGCCCAATTCGAACCATGGACTAGAATGTCAGCACACAAAACAAACTTTTGTCAATTGTCAACTTCTATATCTTTTGGTTAATTATTCGAAAAACAAGAATTGAACTTACTGTGCTAACGCATATACCACAGCTATAAAAATTAACTTGACTATAATAAATTGGGTTTTTATTCAAATTTAAATATGTACTATTGTTTTTAGAAAACAAATAATATTTACGAACAATTAAACCAATGAATGTTTCCAACACATACAACTGTTTTAGATCCAAATATTTATGTATCCAAAACATCTGTATGGTTAACCACATAATTCAATGAATTCGAATTGCAAATAAAAAACAAAGACAAAAATTTTAATTAATTTATTGAAATTTGACTGACCGTAAAATGCTGTTTCGAGTATTGCCAAGTACTCATCATCAGTGGACTTAGGATATATTCTTCTTTTCTTCTGTTCTTTTCTTTCTTTTCGTCATAAAGACGTGTCATTTTCGACAAAAAAAATAACATTAAAAAACTCCACCACTAATATTTTTGGGTCTATTACAATAAAACTTATCCGTTTTTAACTTTGAAATTAAATATACAAAAATATGTTAAATAATTAGACTTTTTCAGGACTAATCTACGGAAAACTGTAGTAACCATTGCAAATGGATGAGTACGTCACTTTTAAATATATAATTATTTTAATATTCGATAAATATGTATGTAGTTTTAAAAAAAGTGAAGTAAGCTCACCTTTTCTAGATACTTTCAACATAAGCGCTTTATGTACTATAACAAATAATATGGAGTTACTGTAATTATATGAACCATAAATCCGTGAATATATAATATAAAAAATTACGAAACTATCTAATAAAAGCTTTTATAAGGGTGGTAAATCTGTATTTATTAAATTCGTTCACATAGGTATATTAGCAATACATATAGTACATTTAGTGATGCTTTCAACTAACAATTATTAATATATTAATGAAGGTATTCCAAAAATAAATTTTACCAATCGAACAAAACTCAATAATCCTGAGCAGGATTATTGATTATTCACACAGCACAAGAAATCGTTATTTTTATTGTAATTTTGTTCTTTCAAATCCTTTGGATATAAAGTTCCAATTACAATCCAATTTTATATCTTATATAATAATTATATAATAATTATATAATAATATCTTATATAATAATTTTATATAATAGCTATCTGCTATTGGGAGTATTGCTGATTATTTGTACAATAAGAAACGTGTTTATATCTAAGAAATAGTGAATTTTATTTTATTCATAATATTTTCTACCGCTAGCTATGCCTTTCGACGATCTTTCTGGTTATATACCTAATAAAATTACAATTATTTTTTCAATATTTACAAAATTAAGTAGAAATTAAGTTTGTAATTTACAATGATGTGGTACTAACTTTTCACGTACTGGAGAGTAGTTATCTTTCTACGAAAAGTAACATCCTCCCCATCAATACTGTACGTAGACAAAAACTATTCCAGCATTTATGCCTTTATTTTGATTAGACTATAAAAAAAAATTATTACTTCCATATTACTATATAACTTGCACATATACAAAATTAGGACTAGGACTAGACTAAACCACGTATTTCTTTTTCTGGGATAATTCCTTATATTAAAATGAACAAACACAATTAATCTGTATTTGCTATTTATCGAAACAGCAGTTTATACTGAATGAGAATTATAAATGAAACAGTAATGTTTAAATAGCAAATAGTAAATGAATTGCATATATTGGTTTATAATTCTCATGATTTTCCTATTACGTTGAATAAAAAGTAGAAATATAGTCATTTTAAAATTGATTATTTTAATGAAATATGTTCCCCAACAATTGTTGTATATGACTATGTAGACCAGTGTGTTCAATATGTTTGCTTAAATTTAAAATTACTAAATTAAAATTTTTGTCATTTGGTCTTTATCAACTCTTGACTAATACTTTTGTGAAGTAGCGGTTCTAGTAGTCCGAAATTTCATGCAAACTTCTTATAACTATAGGGATGAAAAATAATTGCTGTTTAAAACAGTGTTAACGGGGGAATATATGATTTTTCACAAAAAGGTAGTAACTATATCTTCAGTGTTCGAAAAAAATTTAGGTGTATAAATAACAGATTAGTCTCGAACTTTTGATGAAAGAGCGTAAATGGCTAGAATATATAAATAATCATTACAATTTGACACAGGAGATAAGTGTATACATGTGTATACATCACATACCACACAACACTAAAGACAGTTAACATCATTTAAACTATTGCTGAATTCTTTATATGCTGAACTTTTGAATAAGAAATGGAAAAACTAAACGATATGCAGGCATCTGAATGCAAGTTGATTGTGTTCTTTAAAACAAAATCCAGCACTTAAGATGCCCTGTAAAAATATCAGTTTTATATTAGATTTTTGATAGATCATAACCGATTAGGGAACCATACTAGAAGATTGAATCTCCAGTTTCCCGTCGAAGTTGTAGAGAGAACGTTGAATCTGCTATGTTACTGTCCACTACTTATGTATGTGGCGTTGATTCACCATTTTAAGAGCATCTTTTTCTGAGAATATAAACAAATTTCAGGACCTCCCTTTAAAGAGCATTTTAGATTTTGTCGAAGGTTTAAAGTAGTTTTTAATTATTTAATTTAATTTTTTGTATAGTAACACAATGAGCTAATAGGACTAAGTAGATCTTTAGGATTGTCATTATTACTTAAATTAACCTTTTGATTTGAAAATTTTACAATAATAACCTTTGAACAATAAATGTACCAATTCGTATTTCAACATTAATAGTGAATTCTATTTAAAATTATATTACTAACATAAGACTTAAGCCATATTATATTATATATATACGGATGTGTGCAATAATGTATTTTAATTATAAATTATTGTTATTGTATTGTAAATATATAATTTTTTTATTATTTAATATGCTATACAAATCATATTAATTATATTATTAATATAAATTACTAAATTTTATAGATAAATTAAGGCTATACATATTAAAATACATTACATATAAATATATGTAATTGTTTTTAAAACATGATTTAATATATAATATGTATATTTATATATATTAATATAGCTTATTGCTTTGTATAAATAAAAAAATAATATAAATAATTAATGAAGAATCCTTTCACAACATTCTATATAAAATATGAACTGCTCTTTTTTTGGTTTTTGTTCAAAACTTATTATAAAACATTTTACCGCAAAAAAAAATTGTTTAAAATTGTTTATTTTTCTAATTAAAAATTAAATATTAAAATATGCAAAAGTGAAAAAGTGGAAAAGTGGAAAAACTCAGTTGAGCAACTCCAACCTTCCTTTCTTCTTGTGAGTTTGTGTGCATAAAAAATTAGATTAGATAGGAAAAATTTCTAAAAATCAAAGGAACATTTCCCCCCCATATTTCACATGTATAATAAACTAATAAAGTATAACGAAATATTAAAAAAAATCTGTATATTTGCTCAAAATTTTTGAAAGGGAAATTTTTATTTTAGTTCCTTTAAGACCTCATATTAATTTGCTTACCTTTGCCATTATCCCAGCTGAGCTGTAATTTTACACTCCAATAGAAACCACAAAATAAAATGGCTGCGGTCCTTTTTTGAGAATTATTAATTTTAATATTTTCCCCTAAGTTATATGCTTATTATCTCCAATGTTGATAGCGTAGTAACGTTGGAGTAAGTTGGAGCCAAACCAACAACACCGACAAATGTGACAACTGCAACAGGAACAATAACAACAACAACGGCAAAGGCAACGACAATATTACGATATTAGAATAAGTAAATAATTGTGGCTTAGCAGAGGGATTTTTTTTTGTTTTTGTTTTTGTTTTTGTTGAACAATATTGACTTGATGTGTAGTAATTTCACTTTACTTTAGCCTTTACACGTACATACATATAAGGCAATAAGTTTAATTAATTAAGTGGGGCGGCGGGTGCGATACAAATACGTTATACACTTTAAAACAACAACGTCCATGACAAAAAGTATAAAAAAAATAAACACAAGACACAACAAAAGCAAACACGCTTATACTGTCAAAATAATGTTGACCGTTAATTTAGACGTTGGCTAGAGGCTTTGCGAAGAAGCGCTCGTAATCGCGGGCGGGTTTGCAAGGCAGTAACGAGAATTATTAATGCAACTGCCGGATTATGCTTAAAAGATCATAAAATATTTTTTTTTTTAAGTTGGATTATAATTATATTTTTGTATTTTATTTTATAAATTTTGTTTCACTTTTTTTTTGTAGTTTAAAATAAAAACACTTCAAACATTTTTAATTTTTAATTTAAATAAAAATTATTTCTTCTTTTCAGCCTTTGCCGTTCACTGCACGTTTTTTATGAGCTAAGAGTTATGAGCTCAGTTTATCTTTATAAAAATTTTTTTTTTTTGAACAATTTAATTTCTTTTTCACTTACATTTTTGATTTATTCATGTATTTTATTTTAAATTTATTTTAAAGTTTATTTATTAATTTGCATATGTTTCTATACGTTTTTATGTGCTTATTTTTTTTTGTTTTTTGCTGGAAGTATTGTTACTTTAGTTCTTCACTGCATCTGCTTTCGAATTCAACATCCAATTTAACGGTAAACTCCATTAAGAACTATTCGAAAATTGTTTTTGCCACAGCGATTGGAATTCAGAGAAAGCGGAAAAAACAGCTCGTACAGTTACAATTAGAATATTTAGTACATAATTAATTTGATTTTTTATCGTTTATTTAATGCATTTTTTCATTTATTCATTTATTTATTGTATTTAATTTATTTTTTTGTTTTTGGTGATTTATGAAAAATATTTGAGTCACCTACTTTGAACGTAAACAAAGCGACAACAAAAACTATTGGCAGCGACCGCCAGTCTTGACTGCCTTTTGACTTGAGCCCATATTCCTTGCTGTTGGCTATAACGTATAAACAAACAACAAGAACAACAACAGCAATAACAACAACAGAAGTAGTAATAAAACTAACACAATTCAGCAAGCGTTTATACCCCACAATCCACAATCACAGCAGCATAGACAGTCAGTTTACTGCTTGTGCTTACTTCCCCCCATATTGCCACTTCACACTGCTATATTTTTAAGTGTTTTTTTTTTTGTTGTTTTTTTTGTTTTTGCTTCCTTTCGTTTAGCAACACAACATACAAAATTCCTTTGGTTATCGTTTTGAAAAACACATTTACACTTAAAACGACATTTGAACGCTATAACGTCCCACCCGGTATCTGCGCTGTTAACGGTTCAACTTCCGAAACTCAACTACTTTTGAATTTCTGAAATAATGTTTTTGGTTTGTGATTTTATTCAACACGCCACATCATTTTATTTTATTTTTTTTTTTTGTGTTTTATATTCTTCATCATGTTTGGCTACATGCGAATGTACCAACAACAAGTAAATCAGCACTGCATGGTGAGAATAATAACGGTTTTCCTACGGTCATGCGCAAAGCTTCATTGAAGGGCTTAAAAGTTCTTTACTTGGCAGCAAATCATTTTATTTTGAAAAGTTCTAACGACGAGGATTGCTCCTTATGATGTTAAAGTTATCAATATATTAAAAAACAAATTATGAAATAATTTAAAAAAAAAAAAATAAAATATTTATTTAAAAAATTTCTCATTCGTTTTTGATTTATTTTACTATTTTGTTTTTTTACCTTACATACCTGCATCAAATCAACACGTAACCAATAAAGTCTGCGTTCACCTTACATACGAATTTTGATATGTGATATAGAAACACAACATAAATACAGTCAAACTTCCATAACTCGAACATCTATAACTCAAACATTCTATAACTCTAACTAAAGAGAGTGCAACAGGGTTTTATAACTCGAATTTCTCTCGAATAAAAATATTGTCATGTGCCAATAGGAATGTGGGAAAGGGCATTCTATGAGTCGAATTTTTGTTTTAAGTATGAATCCATTTTGGTGTTACGGGAAGTCCCTTTTTCCAAACCAGATGTTTCAATTTTTTTTTTCTTTTGTAGCTACTTTGTGCAATTACCAGTCCTTGGTAAACGGTAGTCAAACAATAGTGCACTGCTTTAAAAAGCTGGAACAAGTTTCTACATGGGACGCACAAGACGACATTCCTTTAATTTTCTGAAATAACATTGATGAAGACCGTGAATTGATGTAAAAGTAAAGAAAATATAATAACTTCCAATACTAGTCTTAACCATAATATTATATTAAACTTAAGAATGAAATTTGTACATCAAGCTTTCTTACAGATGATGATATTATTGAGCATTATAGAGCTCTGAATTAGTGGATTCGATTCTAAACGCAACAGAAAGTGATGATAAGAGTTCAGTGGATAAAATTGTTCATCAGCTATCCAAGAATAAAGTAGAAGACTCATTCAAAATTCTGAGTTTTTATTTGCAAACGAATGATACTACAAGTAATGATCACTATAAGAGTTTGAATAAATGAAAATCTCTTTTTACTAAAAATAAGAAAATTAAATCCCAAACCCTAACTTCTGAATATTCTATTTCAGTATAACTTCTGTGCTGTATTTAATTGTAAATAAATAAATATTTTAAAAGGTAATTCTAGTTTTTTTCAAAAATAAAACAAAAAACAAAAAAATTCTCTAACTCTAAGTCTCCATAACGGGAACCTTTTCTTTGCAAAATGGTATTTCAAGTTATGAAAGGTTGTCTATATATATAATATGTACATATATATTTTAAATTAAAATTTTTACATACATTTATTCTTTACTTTCTAAGGTTCAAAAAGCAAGAACAAAACTTTTTATTATTTTCTTAAATTTTAAAATAACGAGATAAAACTCGTGTAATAAGTAAATATTGACCTAAAAATAATAAATAAGATTAAATAATAAGTATAACATTATAAATAATAAAATAAAGTTAATTTTAATACTTTTTTGGATAGCCACGCTGTTTCAGGACTTCACTCAATCTGCTTGGCATTGCTTCTGAGTTTCTTCAGCAATAATTTTCGCCCAATAATAATCTACTTGCATTGTAATCCGCAAAGCCCCTTTACTTGTTAGCACATACTGACGAATTCTTTTTTCTATTAAATCCCAAAGATGTTCAAGAGGATTAAGATCAGGTGATTGTTGAAGCATTTTAAGATCTCTTGGATCACTGTATAAAAGTCAAAGTGTAACGATCTTCGCTGTGTGTTTTGGAGCATTGTCCTGTTGAAATCAAACCGCCTGGATACCCCAAATTACCTGCGCTTTATCCTTTTATCTCTATTATGAACAGACGAATACAATTTTTTTCTTTTGCTATTTGAAATTAGAAATTCAAAGGATAAATATATTTAATAATTTCAATTTGAAATATATATTTATGTCGTGTTACTCTATCACATATTAAAATTAGTAAAGTAAACGCAGACTTTATTAGCTATGTGTATATATACACGGTTGCCACTTGAAAATTTTTTCCTGTACCAAAATTGGTTTAAAAAGGTACCATTTCTGTAAAAAAAGGTCCAAAATTGTTTTAAGCCTTTTTATTTTTTCGTTCTGTGTTTTTCATAGCGTTATAAATGAACAAAGTATAAAATAGTGCAAAGTTGCATTTATAAAAAAAATTAATTGGAACTATCCACAATAAAGTTGGGTCGTCAAAAATGTACCATTTTTTGAACATGAGTACCAAACGAAAAAAAAAGTACCAATTTTGGTACTGAAGTACCATAAGTGGCAACCGTGTATATATATATTACCCCATACATACGTAAACAAATTATCTTCAAATTATGGACTTTACAAAAATATCTACAAGGCTATCATGTTTTTATTTTGTCTCTTTTATCTTTCAGATATATGTATATGTCTTGTATATGTATCTTTCATATATAAAATTAATCCTTAATATTTATGGTAAAAGCTTTCCACCAAATTTTTTTAATTCGCATATGTAGAGCAATCGGTGTACATCTGTAACATTTCAAACAAAGTTTTATCATTTTTTGCCAAAAATTAAAAAGTCAGACAATGTACTGCCCCACCCCACATAAAAATATGCCAGTAGCGGCCCATAAAGGTTATGGAGATCGAATGATCTAGATTATAATAGTGGACTATGCTAACCACAGCATTGCTAACCACTTCGAACAATTTCTCAATTTCAAACTTATTATATTTCTACTTTTTCTTAAACAAAATTAAAAAAAAAATCAATGACTAACATCTTATTTCAGTAATTAAGGGCAGTTTGAAATTTTAAATATACTGGATTTGAAGAATCTAACAATAACATCTTAATATGTATTTTGCAGTAAAATTTGATGGTTACATTTTGCGAAATATATTTTATTAAAGTAGTCAACTTCTAACTGATCATATTTCTACTTTTCTTTAAACAGAATATGATACTTAATGAGAATTATAAACCTACAAGTGCAACAAAATTTTGAACATTAGTGTATCGTCTCATATATAATTAGTGTAGTCTCATATATAATTCTCATTCACTAATATATTCGGTTTAAATAAAAGTAGAAACATAAATAATTTAAATTAATTACGTTAATAATATATATTTCACAAAAGTAACCATCAAATTTTACACCTATTTCATATGGAGATGTTAAAACTTTCAACTGACCTTAATTACTGGAATGAGATTTCAGTCATTGGCTGTAATATTTTAAAGTAGTGGTTTGAATGGGCTGAAATTTCATGTGGAAAGTCGAAAAGAGAAAAACCACTGTTATTTAAAATGGATTTTATACTCAGTACTCTATGAATGAGTATCCAAAGAATATATATAAAGCGATTTTTTTAATGAAAGTAACCAATATTATATTATATGTATTATTTATAAAATATATAAATAAAAAAATGTTAAGTTTCTGTCTCTTTTTAAATACAAATCAGTATCGGAGACACGGTTGCCACTTATGGTACTTTAGTACCAAAATTGGTACTTTTTTTTTTTCGTTTGGTACATGTTCAAAAACTGGTACATTTTTGACTACCCAACTTTATTGTGGATATTTCCAATTAATTTTTTTTATAAATGCAACTTTGCACTATTTTATATTTTGTTCATTTATAACACTATGAAAAACACAGAACGAGAAAACAAAAATTTTTTGGACCTTTTTTTACAGAAATGGTACCTTTTTAAACCAATTTTGGTACAGAAAAAAATTTTCAAGTGGCAACCGTGATCGAAGACATACAAATGGAATTTCATACATAGATTTTATGGGTGTAA